TACCACCTGCCACGTCAAGAGGTAAAATACTTCTCTTTTTTTGGTACTAGAGAGTGAACCCAGGGGTGTTCTACCACTGAGCTACATCCTCAGCCTTTTGTTCCTTTATTTTGAGACAGGGTCTCACTAAGTTGCTGAGGCTAGCCTTTGGCTGGCAAACCTCCTGCCTCAGCCTCCTGAATCTCTGGGATTACAGGCATGCACTAGCACAGCCAGCTCTAAAACATGTCTTATACTACAGAAGTCCTGGATATGCTTTCTCTAATCGTAGCCACACTTTTAGGTATCCATTAACCTGTTTTTTTGTTTGTTTGTTTGTTTGTGTGTGTGTGTGGGGGTGTGTGTGTGTGATAGCTATATCCTTGTATTTCTTTATAGTTTTCTACTTCTTTTACCATCTATGTCTGTATCCCTAAATATCATAATCTAGTTCTTGAACTTTATTTGAACGGAAATTTAATGAATGCATTCTCTTTTGGCTTCCTTATTTTCATTAGTAGTGTGTTTGTGAAATTTATCCATATTCTAGTGTACAGCTGTACTTCATTTCATTCATTCATTCCTTCATTGTGTTGCAATTTATGTACTCATTCTGCCTTAAATGGCTGTCTAGGATGTTTTGAGGTTTTCTCTGTATTAATGCTTCTTCTGTGAATATGTTACCTACTGCAAACACGTGGGTCCACTAGGATGTGCACTAGGTGTAGAATTGCTGGGTCATAAAGTAGAGATACTGTCAACTTTATAATTAATAACTATTCTTTTTTCCAAAGTGATTATATCCAGTTGCCCTTCTCCTGGGAATGTATACTAGTTCCCGTTGTTTTACATGCCTATCAGCAATTGGTGTTATAACACTTTTTAGTTTACATCAAGCTGGTGGATATCTATTGTGTTATAAATTCAGGTGCTTTTTAAATATTTCTGAGGCTTTCTATAAATTTCACCAATAAACTCTTATAAATCTTTCCTTGAGCAACCTCACAGTTGGCCTGAGTTCACTAAGTTGCAAACAAGTGGGTCCACTTCTGCGGATGGGGAACTGAGATGGGATCCTGCAGTGTGCTTTGTGCTGATACTGGTTCTAACTCCTCAAGATTACTGTGGTACAAAGATTCATCCAAAGTGAGAAAACATGTTCTCTAATATGGAGGTCTCCACTGGAAACTAAGAATACCACATTGTGACTTCAAAACCCTCAGCAGATCGGTTAACAACAGGTGCATGACAGACGCTCAGTTTACGCAGCCTGCTGAGAATCAGGAGTGCAGTGAGACTGTCCAGCACCATTGCCTTTCCATGCTGAGCCTCTTGCACCATCTTCAGCACAGCTTCGCTCAGTAAGGAGAACTGAGAGGGACTGACACTTTCTCTCCTAGCCACCTGTTGTTTCAGATATGCCTGGTTGGTTGGTCTGCACACCCTCCCTCCTGCCTTTTCCCTGGTGGTAACTGTCCCAGGACAGCTGTCTAAAGCTGCTTGATGATATTTGGAACAACTTTAGGGCAGAAGCAGCTTCTTGATATTCCAGTGTCTGAGCTCCACAGGACTCTTGCTCTAACTATGGTGTGGAAGTTCATTTTATAAAAGCAGAAATTTTGAAGAATAACTGATTTGATTTTCATGGAAAATCATACATACAGGGCAAATAGGTAACAGAGAAAAATGGTGCTGTTGTGGTTGGAAAGTTCTAGAAGGGCCAGGAATTGTACCTGCCTGCTCGACTAGTTTCCTCCCCTGATTTTCTACCAATTGAAAACTATTGGGCCATTAATAAAGTCCAGAGCACTTATCTAAATGTATACTTAGCTTTATCTAGGAAACACCATGAAACTGTGCAGATTAAACAAGATAAACTGTGAGAGGCCTGAGAGGCCTCAGAAGGGATAGTGCCTTCTTTCCTTGTGGAACCTGTCAGTACAGAAAAGGTACACAATCCCACTCAACACCCCTTGGCCTCCAGCCCAGAACTCTGGTTTATCATGTTATACTGTGTCTGTTGGTGTCTGCAGGGGATTGTTTGCAGGACCCCTCACAGATACCAAACTCACGTGCCTTTTATAAAATGGCATAGTATTTACATCATAAACCATGTGTATCTTCCCTTATACTTTAAATCATCTCTGGACTTATAATGCCTAATATAATGTAAATGCTAGGTAGATAGTTGTTATGCTGTGTTGTCTAGAGAATAAAAACAAGAAAAAAAGTCCGTATATGTTCAGTTCAGATATGGATTTTTGTTGTTATTATTACTTTTTTAATTCTCTTGTTGATCCTCTTGGTTTAATCCATGGATGTGGAACCTGCAGATAGCAGATAAGGTGGACCAGCTGCATTTCTGTTTTATCCACGAGGACATTGTTAGCAGTGTTGGGGTCATGGAGTTGCTCTGTTTTATGAAATTGCATAGAACAGGGCTGGGGATGTGGCTCAAGTGGTAGCGCACTCGCCTGGCGTGCGTGTGGCCCGGGTTCAATCCTCAGCACCACATACAAACAAAAGATGTTTTTTCCCCGAAAACTGAGAAATAAATATTGAAATTCATATTCTCTCTCTCTCTCTCTCTCTCTCTCTCTCTCTAAAAAATAAAAAAGAAAAAAAGTTGAATAGAACAGATTGCTTTAGACTACCTCTTCTGCTAAGTGCCAAGTTCATTGGAGGATCTAATTTATTCACTCATTTCTCCCTCCTTCCTTTTTTATTCTTTTCTGTCTTCTTTCTTTCCATCTATCCATCCATCCTTCCATCCATCCATCCACCATTTATTATTGAATTGTTGCAATATTGGGTTTTGGATAGACAGTGATTAGTGAGACAGGCATATTGTCCACCTGCCCTTGTGCCCTCTACGCCAATGTGCAATAACAAGGGGATTCTGTAGGTGATGCTGGGACTCTTAATGTTGTAAATATGCTCAGTTTACTTCTTCCTTCATCATCCTCTATTTTTAGCAACAAAATAAGCCTCCTTTTAAATTTGTTCCAGCAAACTCTCAGCATAAACTTGGACTATAAATCAGGTAAAAGTAGGGTAGGTTTGGTTCAGATCAAAACAGCCCAATTCCTGCCACTCAGCACAGAGTCATGCTACAGCCCCGGCTCCTTCCACCCCCAGTTACCTCCTCAGAACCCAATGCTCTTGATCTGGGCCCGGGGTCTGACATGACTTCATGTGCTGATACTGTGTGTAGCTATTCCTCATACTCGCTAATGCCCCTGCAGTAAAGTCACCTAGGATAAATGTGGAAATTCAGGCCCTTAGACCTCATAAACCCATAGAAATGGTCACTGGCAGTCTCTGTATACCCCTTCTGCTTCCAAAGTAACAATCAAAATGACCCCATTGACCCCCTAAAGGGGGGACAAGAAAAAGGAATATATAAACACATTTGGCTCAAGTGGTTTCTACAAAATGTGGTTAAGTTGAAATTATGAAATCATGCTTAATTTTTCTGTCAGGAAGGGGGAAATTTGCATCATAATTTGACACTGGTGGCAGTTTTGCCTCTGGCAGATTTAAATGAAAAAAAAAATTCTGGAACGCCAGACAGCTGCATGAATGCACATCTGTGCCCAGAGTCTTAATCAGCCTCTTTGTTGGGTTTCTCCTTTTCTTCTTGTGGTTGTAACAGCCTCAGTCAAGCCTGCCCACATGGGGTGCAGTGACGTTCACCCAGATCAAAGCCTACATGTTTGTTCTGATTTAAAGCTCAATAACACGCCTTAGCCTCTTTTATGTGGCCACAGAGGAAAGGCCCTAACCCTTCAAGGGATACTTGGGTGGAGAACTCAAGTTTGTTTTCCTGCCTGCATTGATGGAGCTGCTTGGGATTCGTTCATGACCCCGCCATCTCTATGAATTTCTGATCCTACTTCCTCTCCTCTTTAGTTCTTGTATCCATTTCATGTTTAACTCAGGGCTAAGAATAAATGGTTTGGTGTGGTGCTGAAGATTGAATCCAGAGGTGCTTTACCACTGATCGACATCCCCGGTCCCTTTTATTTTTCATTTTGAGGCAGGGTCTCACCAAGTTGCCGAGGCTGGCCTCAACTTGTGATCCTCCCGCCTCAGTGTCCTGAGTGGCTGGGATTACAGGTGTGTGCCACCATGGCTGGCTCCAAGATTGAGATTTTTTTTAAAGCAAATAATTATTCTGGAAACTGACATCATATTAATATGAAGCAAGTAGCTGAAACACATTTGGCTCAAGTGGATGTATGTTATTTGCATCCACAGTGCTTAAAAAAAAAAAAAAAAAAACTTATTTTTTTAATCTGAATGCCTTTGGACTTTGTCGATGCTCACCCATTTGCCACAGTCCCCACAGTTCCTTCTTGTCTCTCACACCTGCCCTCCTCCAGGTGTTTACATTACTGGCCTTTTTTTAAAGCCAGTCTGGTTCTTTGCTGAACTCTAAGGCCTTTCTAGTTCACTCTCCCGGGAATGTTCTCTGAACAATTTAGAATTCTAGAGTATTAAAAAGGACATTGCTACTTTGTGGGTGTTTACAGTTGAATGGGAGGGGTTGTTAAAGTGCATGAAAGATATAAATACAGTACTCACGTATTGAAAACGATTCAGAAAATTAGATTTATACTCGTAGCTGAGAATGATATATGGTCCCAGCCAGTAATTAACAGAAGGATCCAGTAGATTTGGTGTGTAGCCATGTGAATTTTGCTTGGGTAGCTGATCCTGGTTCGCGGTGCTTTAGCTTGGTCACAGGGTTCTTAGAGCTATAGAAGGATCTGATATTTGAGAATATATTGAGAATATGTCAATATTCTCAAGTGCCAACCTGCTCTTCCAGCTCTTGCCTTGTTTCTTCCCTATCACCCCTTTTACCACACTTGATATCCACAGGATGGTTTTGGTTTTTCTCATTTGGACTGTGGACACATCTGCCTGTACAGTTCGCCTGGCTCTTGGTACTGACGTTGGAAGGCTCTTTTCCTCTTTTAATAAAGCCCTTTCTTTTTTTTTCCATTTCCCAGCAGATATCTGGAGTGATCAGTCATTTCAGACAGATCCGGATTTGCCGCCTGGCTGGAAAAGAATCAATGACATCGCTGGGACCTATTACTGGCACATCCCAACAGGAACAACTCAGTGGGAACGGCCTGTCTCCATCCCCGCAGATATCCAGGGTTCTAGGAAAGGGTCACTTAGCTCTGTAACGCCATCTCCCACCCCAGAGAATGAGGTAAAATGGAAGTATCTTTTTACCGGCTTAGTAGAGTGGATGTAAACTTGTGGTTTCTCTTTAGACTAGTGGTTTCCACCCCCAACAGGTCACTGAGGTAAGCCTTTTGATTATCATGCATGTTGCATTTGAAATCTCAGGAATGCTTCCTCTTAGTAAATAGTGTTAATATCCATCTTTTGAGGGTGTTTTCATTTTTAATGGCTTTTGGTGTCTTGAAACACCCTTCCAGTACAGAAAGCAAGAGGGGCTGATTAATGAGGAGTGGTTAAGATTCCCTAGGGCCCATGGAGGCAGTAATTTACTCTGCAGGTACCATTGCATGGTGCTGCCTCGATAAAATATTTACACGCAGAAAAACATCTCTTGGCCAGGCATGTGATAATTACCGTGCATCTTATTAGCCTTGGGTTCCTTTCCTAGCGTGGTAAGGATGTCTGCAAGAATAACCCTTGAGAGCCTTTAAATGTTTAATTTCTATTTTGAAAAGGATCTGTTTATTTAGCAGAAGTGACATAATTTTAGAAATAATTAGCAGCATAAATTTTTCCCATCCCTGAGGACGAAATCTGGATGTTTAAACAAAGAATCGAGGCATTAAAAATTCCATTGTGATATTTATTAATATGAAGTTCCTGCAGTGAACCTTTGCAAATCCTGATAACAGAACATTCAAGAGAATTATAATTGGGAAAGGTCACAATTAAGGGATGATTTTGTTTTCTTTTTTTGAGAAAAGTGGTTTGATCCATGATACCCGGCCTTTCTCCCTCTTTTGTTCTTCAAACAAGCCCATCATCTTTCACTGTGAGGACACTTCATCTCTTACCTGTGGAGCTTTTCTGTCATTTTCAACTGTTATCACTTTTCCTGTCTGTGAACACAGTATCTTATTCCTATTGATTATTTACTTGTTGTTCTGGGAGGCAATAAGACCTATCATCTTATCACATTCCTGCTAATTCAAGGCTGCAGCATCTCACTTGCCCAGCCTGGACCCCAGTTCTTCATCTCTAAAGTGATAGGGTGGAGTGAGCTGGACCCTCACTGGTCAACGAGGTTGGTTGGTTCCTTGTTCTGATCTTCAGGTGCATGCTTCAGTCCAATGAACCACAAAAGATATTTTTTTTTCTTATCACTAGATTATTATTATTTTGACAGCTTTTTATTGCAGCATGACATTTCCATTCCCTGAACATTTTCCATTTAGTGATATATTCAGCTTGGGTTAGGTGTCCTAGGGAATAAAGGAGAACCAAATTAGCCCCTGTCCTGAAGGAACTTGACATAGAGGGAAGTTCTTCTCCTGTTCTAACCTGGATGCATCCAGGACTTTCTCTTGGTACCAACAGGGACCTTCCAAGATCAGAGCCGGGCAGGACTAGCCTCTGCCCTCACTAACGGCAGAGGTGCTCTCCTCCTTAGCTGTACATAATTTCTCTTGGCATCTCTGTTAGGATCTTTCTCCATTCCAGGACTTCATTCTTCTATCCCGACCCTTTAATCGTGTTCACCGACAGAATAACCTACAGTCTTAGAACACCAGGGTGGGAGGAGGTCATCTGGTACCAGCATCTGTGTGTTACAGATGGGAAAACTGGAATGCAGAGAAGACAATGACCTGCAGCAATGCTGGGTCTGACATTCAAGAGTTCCTGAATTCTCCTTTATCCTCAGCCAGAGTTCTCGTCCCTCATCACCCCTGGCTTTGGAGTTTCAGTCTACTCCCTCTCCCCATTGACTCTGAGGTGTGGAAATCGGACTAACTTTGAGGCACAATTCCTAACTCAGGAGTCTTATGTCCTCTGTAATTAGAAGAAATAAGTCTTTCTTTAGCCAGCCAAGGCCAAGGATTCTTATACCTTTGCTTCCTATGGTAGACTTTGTTTCCATATTGACTGCAAAACACTCACCCAAGGCAGCTGGCCTGGGTGAAACTTTCAGGCGTCAGAGTTCCTATCTAATCCCTGAGCCTCCTGGTGCCAACTCTTGTCTGTTCTTCCCCCTCTACGTCTGCTTCCTACCCACATCCCATGCATTGCTCAGTGCCTCTTTCCAGGCTCAGAAGGGACACACCCCATTTTCCTTCCCTCTTGGAGTTCAATCTTGGTGTTCAACATATCCCCATAATTCAGCCTCATCGTTGCTTTTAGGGGTTTGTTGGATCTACAGTGTAGCTCAGCAGTAGAGTGGTAAAGTGTCTGCCTGTCTTACACAAGGCCCTAGATGGCATCCCCTGCACTGCAAAAAAAAAAAAAAAAAAAAAAAAAAATTCAGGGTATTTTTATAAATATTATTTCTTTTACCAGATGATGTTCCTATGGCAGGAAAGACAGCTATTATGTTCCATATTTAAGAAAAGAGAGTCTGAGGGTTGAGTAGCCATGTAGCTGGTATTAGAGTAGGGAGACATTCTGTCCCAATTCAGCCCTGTGCTCTGCCCCCCCCCCCCCACTATGTGAATTTCCACCTTAGGCTGGTGCCATTGCTCTCTTCTGCTGCTGACCATGCCATTATACTAGAAAGTCTTATCCCTCCACAAATCTTTGTTAATAGATGACTATTTTTAGAAGTTTTAGAAACAGGGACTCGTATCCAATCCTTTAATAGACTGAGGGGACAGGAATTCTTCTGATTCACCTTTTAATGGTTTCTTTCTTGCTCATTCTCCCCTCTGTACCTGCGGCCATCCTTTGAGTCAGAGAACCCAGCAGATGTAAGAGGGATTAAATTTAAAAATCAGAGAAGCAAAGGGATGAGCAGGGAGAGAGGGGAGGAATGAGAGAGTTGGAGAAAAACCCAGCCGCCACACACCGGGATGTGGGAACCCTGTTGGTGATGGTAAACCACAGAGATTTCCAGCTCCAGGCAGTGTCTGTCGCTTTCCTCTCCATGAAACAGGCACCTGGGACTCTAGTTGTCACTCCCATTTTACACTTGACAACCCTGAAACCCAGAGATGCCAAGGGCTTACACAAGCTAGCGGAGCTGCTCCACGGTAGAGTCCACCCGACTTCAGGTCTGCTGACCCCAGCCTCCCTCCAAGCTTCCCAGAATGCATCAGGAAGCCTGCAGACTCAAGTCTCTTCATCTCATCCCGAGGAACAGCTCTGTCACACACGGAGCCTTCTAGAAAATGACTTCTCTTAATAGCACCACTTCAGGTGCTAATGACAGCGGAAGAGAAATGAATGTTTCTCTAACACCATTTCTTTGATCCCTAAATAGAATCTATTTCAACTAATCTTGAAACATGAGCAAAGGCAAAATGTTAAAGGAGAGAAGACACTTGTGTTAGAAATGCATATTTTTATTCAGCTTTATCCTGAGCTCAGTTGGGGGGGAAAAAATGAATCAAATAAGTGCCAAATCTGTTGACTTCACAAAAGTTTAGGACTGAAGGCGTCCTTACAGTTTGAAAATTCCACGTTTCACATTCCAAAGTTCACTCGGGAAGTGTTAAGCGCCGTGGATAATGTTTCCACCGCACATGTCAGCCGTGTTTTTTCAAAGTTTACAAACGGACCAGGAAACATTTGCCACCAAAATTGGCACGTGGTGCTCTTCCCCACCCCAAGCCATTTATTTGTTCAAAATTACCTCTCAAATTATTCGGGTGTTGGAATTTTAGATGAGAGCCACACAGAATGTTTTTATGAATAACTGGCCCATAGCCAAATCTTACTTACAAATCTTTTTGAGTGAGAGACCATCTGGTTTCTCCAAAAGAGAGGATAGAGAAGGTGGCAGGTGAATCATTCTTCAGAACTGGAACCTCACCTTGGTCGTGAATGCTCTGTTCCTGTTGAAGCCCTCTGCATGGCCTCTCTGGGTGCTCTGAGCAGTTAGTGCCCAGGAGGGGCGAAATTCATTCCTTTAGAACCAGTGTATTTCCACGTACACTGGGAAATAAGATGACAACATCAAGGGCCGTTTTGTCATCATTTTACTGAACTTCTTGACAAATCAAGACGTTTTAGATCTGGAAAGAGCACTGGAGATACTGTGACAGTCTTTCTCAGCCTGTGAGCTAAAACAGCAACCAGGAGGATTTCTGGGGACTTGTAAAATGTGTGGGACCTGGAAATCTGCTTTTTCATAAGCTTTCCTGGGGACTCGGTGCTGAGTGCTGTGTGACAACCAGCCCTCTAGGGAACCAAGCCTCTTATTTTTGTGTGTCACTTGCTCTTAAATTCTTTGGCCTCACCCCAGTGTCTCTCGGGGACTGCTGCTCTCCATCATCTGCTTTGAAAGCTCCTTATTCTCTCTCATTTTTTCGAAGTGTCATGACCTAGAGCATGTTAATCTCCCTCCAGAAAACTGTGGGGGTCGGGATCTGGTGTCCTTGTCTTATGTCCCCAGACCTGGCACAGTTCGTGATAGTGACAAAGTTCATCAGATGTTTGCTGAATGAAGGCGAAACCCAGCCTCAGAGAGAGGGAGCTTTGACTGGTTTGCTCTAACGGCAGAGCCAGCGCTAGAACCATCCAGAGTGGAGTGTCGACATTATGCTGCTGCTCAGAGATCTAATTGCACAAAACTCTGTCAGTCTTACTAGTTTTTAAAAAATATTTTTTATTTGAAGATGGACACAGTATCTTTATTTATGTATTTTTATGTGGTGCTGAGGATTGAACCCAGTACCTCACACGTAGGAGGCAAATGCTCTGCCACTGAACCACCACCCCAGCCTCGGTCTTACTATTTTTTTTTTTTTTTTACTTTTCTGAATTGTGTTTATATAATAAAACATATGCCATACAGTGGTCTTCCCTTATCCACAGGGGACACATTCTGAAATCCCTTAGTAGCTGCCTAAAACCTATCTGTACCAACCCCTAGATGGACTGTAGTACTGCACAGTCAGTCTGACAGCCAGGACAGCTACTAAGTTCCAGCACAGGTATATATACAGCGCAGGTGTGTGGACAGACTGAGGGTTCGTTTCCCAGGAGCGAGGAGGAGGATGGCATGGAAATTCATCACGATACTCAGAATGATGTACAGTGTAAAACTTAGAAACTTTATTTCTGTGTTTTCCCATTTAATATTTTTGGACCCTGATTGACAGCTGATAACTGAAACTGCAGACAGCAAAACTGTGGAGAAGGAAGGGGGACCTGCTGGACTCCCCTTATAGCATCACATCCACCCAAACCACAGAGAGTATTTGAAAAGAAAGGGAAACATGCACACACATAAATGTACAGAATGCTCATTTCATACTGCCTGGCCGATTCCTTGGAATTCTGGAATTCCAATATTGCAGGTTTTCCACCATTTCCATCAAGGCCACACTTGTTAGTCTAAAGTCCTTTTTGGGGGAGGGGGTGTACTGGGATTGAACCCAAGGGCACTTAATCACTGAGTCACATCCCCAGCCCCTTTTTATGTTTTATCTTGAAACCAGGTCTCATTAAGTTGTTTAGGACCTCAGTGAGTTCCTGAGTCTGGCCTCAAACTTGAGATCCTCCTGCATTGCTGGGATTATAGGCAGGCACAAACCACAATCAGTGTGAGCCTCAAGTCTTGACAAAACAGATTGAAAAGTGTAATGCAGACACTTCATAGTCATCAACCTCTGTGTCATGCAGGAAGAGAGAGAGTAGAGGATGAGGGAACTGTCGTTTCTAGGGCACCTATTGGTAGCCAGCCCCTGAGCTAAGAGCTAACATTCTTATCACAGGTTGTCTTCACCCTGATACAAGGTGTTCTTAGCCCTGTTTGATACATGGTAGAACCCAGGCCACAGAGCAAATGAAAGCAGAGTTAGGTCTTGGACTCCGGCTTTCCCACAGCTGGACTAGCTTCAGAGCTTTGGGAGTGACACACAGATGACATGGCATCTTCTGCCAGAGCCACTGCCAGATGTTCAAATGCTCTCGTCCTCACTTGGTCCTCAGCAGTTTAGCTCTCCATTCTCCCTGGTTTGTGTTTTGATACCACTTCCCAGAAACCTTCTGGGTACCCTGGCTTAGTTGGTTTTGTGTTCCAGCAACAGTTCCACAGACACTGGGTGACTTACAATGAACAGAAATTTATTGGCACACAGTTCTGAAGGCCAGAAAATCCAAGATCCAGGGCTGCCTCTAGCAAGGGCCCTCTAGTGCACACACAGTACAAGAGAGAACAAGCAAAAGAACTTGCAAACTTATGGTCTTTTATAATTGGCTTTCATCCATTTAAGGGGGTGGAGACTCGGTTCAACCCCCTCCCATCGGGCCCCACCTTCCAATACTGCTGCACTGGGGGTGCTCTCCGGCACATGCTTTTTGGAGGAAGAATTGAACTATAGTGCACCCTGAGGAAGGTTCCCTCGGGACTTTCCCAGCCCTATGAGACTCCATCCTCGGGAACATCCTGTTGACATGGTCAAAGGATCAATTCTAATATTGGCCTTTTTCCAGCAAAAGGATAGTGCTTCATTTTTTTTTTTTTTTTTTTTTGACTTGTGGAATTGCTTTCCAAGACCCCAGGAGAGAAATATGGAAGAAGCAAGCTGGCTTCCCTTAGTAGACCCACCCCTGCACAGTTTTTGCTTGGTGCTGATCTGTCATGAAGGGTGCTGTGTTCCAGGCCGGGGTCAGTCTTCCCGTACACACTGTCTCTGAGGACCCAGAACTGCACACGATCGTCATATTTAGAGTATGGGATGTTGCAAGCTGGGCAAGGTCAGGACAAGCACCAGGAGAGCATGTCCCCAGCCCTCTACTCTCACTCTCTGGTTTGCATTTCGGTAGCAGAACATCACTTGGCCGTGCAAGGCTTTAGCTGTATTGCCTGGAAGGTTACCAGGTGGGAGGTTGTTGCTCACAGGAGATTAGTGCAGCTTTCCATCACTCCCCGTTCCTCCCGTCAGTCTCACCTGAAACATTTGGCTTCGCCTGCTTTCCCTCCTCCATTGCTTTTTCTTTTTGTCTCTTCCTTTATCCCTCCCACCCCCACCACCCAGACTGCCGACCCCGGTGGCCAGAGAATTTCTGTTGAACCACAGACTCTCTCATTGGTTGTTTTTGGAAAATTTTTATTAACTAAAATTATTAGCTAAATGTAGAAAACATTCTCTCTTATGAATTGAAAATATTTAGATGACTGTGTACTTCTTCAAATTTAAGAAAAAGTCTTTGTACTTCATTGACCTTCCTTTTTAAAAAAAAAAAAAAGAAAAAACTATGGTCACTTATACTGGGGAGAAAGTTTCTCATCTTTGACGGAAATGGATGTTTTTAAATACAGGAGGGAAAAAAGATCTTTGGCCCATTCCTAACTGAATAGCGCCAGTTTCCATTTTTCCTTACTTGAGTTTTATACTGAAGGGTCTCTTCAGGAGAGCCCATGTTATTGTAAGATTTTGGAAAAATCACTGTATAGGGCCTTTGTTTATTTAAATCTCTAAAAGGTGATTGTTGGAAGATTGCCAGCTGACCTGCGTTCCGTGGCAGGAGAAGTGGATTCACATAGGCCTAGAACTGTAATCAGCTTTCACTTTACAGAGCTCCTATGTCCAAAGAGTAAATATATAAAAAACATTTAAAGAAAAAAGAGCACATATGCACACAGAGACCTGTTTTTATTAAGTGCTGGAACTTTTCTGAATACTTGCTTTAGAAAATACTCTTCTTTTGCTAACACATAGCCCGTCTGGGGTAAATTCTGATTTCAGATTTCTTTTTTTAGACACCCCTCCTTTTCTTTCTTTCTTTTTTTTTTTTTTTAATTCCTAAATTTTTCTACAAGGACACAGTTATCTCAAGTTCCTTTAATTCATCATCTGACATTCTTTTTCAAAGTTCAACTTAAGGGAAAACCAGACCTATCAACAAAGATGATAACTTGGAGCCACATGTTCTTTTCTTGGAGAGATGGGGTCCTGGAGGTTGAACTCAGGGGCACTATACCAGTGAGCCACATGCCCAGACCTTTTTGAGACAGGGTCTTATTCATTTGTTGTGCCTGGCCTTGAACTTGCCATCCTCCTGACTCAGCCTTCCAAATTGCTGGAATCATAGGTGTGTGCCACCAGGTCTGGTGCTTGTTTTCATTGTTAAACATAAAAACCTAACTTGAAATTTTAGTTTGCACTTAATCTCAGGTCCTTATCATGAATCCTTATTATATCCCCTATAATGTTCACGATAAACCTTTTGGTTACTGACCCCTCTGAAAATATGAGCAGCCAGGCACAGCGGTAACTGCCTGTAATCTCAGCAACTCAGGAAGCCGAGGCAGGAGGATGCAAGTTGAAGGACAGCAGAGTAATTTAGCAAGACCCTATCTCAAAAGATAAAAAGGGCTAGGGAAATATCATAGAGCGCCCCTGGATTCAATCCCCAGTACTGCCAAAAAGAAAGAGAAAAGCATGAGCAAGTTGGGCGTCTTGTCCCCAGGAGAACACTGGTGCATTGAGTCCCACACCCATCTCGGGGTTTGCCTTTCCATCTCCACTAAGAATCTAAGATTCTCCTAAGTGAATTTTCTCCTCAGCGGAGGTTGGACACTGATAGAGTAAGGAGAGAGGTAAGGGGCTGGGTTCCTACCCTCTTATTCATTAAAAGTGATTTTTTTAAACAATAAGTATGGTGATCTTTCGTATTATAAACTCTGCAATTCAGGAGCTCAGCCCCAGAAAGCAAACACAGCTACTGTGGAGTTGAGAAAATGCATCTCATTTGCAGCGCCTTTGCCCTTATCAAGACCTACAGAGTTTTAAAAAAAGAAAAAGCATCTTTGGATCATCTGAATTTAAATTTGTCTTCCCTTAGTGGTTTTAAGAACTGTATTAACATGAGTTTAAGGTGATGGGTCAGTGCTCATTTCTCATTTTCAAAGAACAAAGTTGAGACATTACTTCCTTGTAAAAATATTGTTTTGTTCATTTATTACCCAAGGCAAGAGATTTGCCTGACCAGTCAGTGAACAGAGACTCACAGGACTGTCCTTGCATTCTATTAGTTTCATTTATTTCTGCAAATCTTAAGTGAAAAATATTTGAATATTTCCTTGGCATAGAAGAAAGAAAAGACATTCCTTATTGTCGGAGGTGGACAGAGGAGTGGTTGAGAGGCAGAGACCTGTTGCAGGAGTTTCCCTCTGAGGCAAGGCACCATGCTTTGTGCTGTGATTCTGCTTAGGAAATCATTTAGTTCCCACATATTAATCTCTCAGGAGGTTTGTGTGGCAAGGAAGGAGAGCATTTTATGAGCTAGAGGGATTTAGATTGTTTAGAATGATTTTTTTGTTCAGTAAAACAAATGTCAGCAAGATATTGCTGTCAGTCTGTGCTCCTTACTAACCCTGTCTCCCCTTTCTGTAAGTGACAATAACTTGATCCTCAGATTTTTGTGTCCCTGGCCATGGGCATCCTCAGTTGACAGACTAACATGTTGTCATCCCTACCTGCTACCCCTGTAAAACAGTTTTGTCTGGTTAAGGTGGGGGGGGGGTAGTGTTCCTATGGAATTTAGGCATATGGTTTGCTTTGAAAACTACATTTAGAAAATGTTTTGGTAAGTAATTAAAATGCCCCTGTCTCCCCCTGCCCTAGTCTACAGGTGATAAGCTAGTCTTAGAGTGAACTAACAAGTTGCTGTTAGAGTTAATTTGTTCCCTAACCCATCCTGTGAATATCAATGCTAACAACAGTGTCTTGTGTTTTTTTTTTTTTCTTTTTCTTTTCTTTTCTTTTTTCTTTAAATCAATGTGCTTTTTTCCTGTGTGAATAATTACATGTCTAGAAACAGCCATGGAGTGATTTTGCTGTTCTGAATGGGGGAAAGATTAATAGTGACATTTGGAAGGCAAGTATATTGTCAGATTTTAGATCGTTCCATACGTTTTCCTTTCTGCATGGCTGCGGCTGTATGATTTTCTTCTTTGTGAATATCCTGCATTCTGCAGGGACGAAGCGAAGGGGCTTCTGGCAAGGGGCGTGCAGCTCACACTCATGTTGCCTTTTTTGATGTCTCCTGTTGTGAATGACTCCAAGCTGATGGCCCCAGGTTCCCTGTTGAGAACAGGCGCCTATGCACCAAGTCAAGCCTCCAGCAGCCCTTGCATGCCTTGCTCTGCCTAAGCTCACACCACTCTCTGCCTCTGCGGGACCTTCGCTCCCCTTTAATGCTGGAGGCAATGTAACAACCCCCCCTACACCCAGTCGTACATTAACAAGGATCTTTTTTCCTCTAGGATTTGCATGCAGCCACAGTTAATCCAGACCCCAGTTTAAAAGAGTTCGAAGGAGCAACGCTACGTTATGCATCTTTGAAACTCAGGTAGGAAGGATGTGGGTGGGGTCAGGTAGGAAGGATGTGGGTGGGGTCTGCGATTGAAAAGTGCAACCTTTGCAGCCAGTGTGTGCGATGGAATTCTAAGACCAGTTTTCTGGTTTTCTTTCTAGAAATGTCCCTCATGCTGATGATGACGATTCTTGTAGTATCAACAGTGACCCAGAAGCCAAGGTTTGTAAGAAAAATATATTCTTGCATCAAAATAAGGACTGTGGATAATGGCCTTCTTTTTACAAACCATCAGTCCCGAGCCACTTAATAAGTAATTATTCCTTGATCATCTCTATTTTTTTAATCATCTGGATTAATCACTCTAAGAACATCCATAGGCCAAGTTAGGTTTGGGGTATGTCTAAATGTTAAGACTGCTTGAATGTCACTGCATCACTTCTTTGAAGAATATAATAAGCTAAGATAACGACTGTTCAGATGAGGGCTCCAGAAGCTTTTAAAGACACTTCCAGTGCTGCCCTGTAGAGAGAGAGGATGAACAGGCAGGATGTGAGACCCTCCTTTGCCAGGGCAACCTGCACCTCTGCAGGTGGAACGCCCTTGCCATCCCTGTCGTGAACACTGGCTGGAGATACTGCTTTATGATGAAAAGTGAGGGCATCCTGGTCTCCATTTTGCTTTGGAATTTCTGGTGGGGTCCTATGCTGAGAGGGCCCCTTACACAGTTTCTAATGTTGCATGGTTGTCTTGAAATAATCATTTGTTTTGGATTTTTATTTTATAATTGAAGCCCTGTGGGATAGTGCAGCATGCATTCAGGAGTGGAGCCTAGGCTGTGCGCACTCTGGCCTCCCTGACTACCCAGGCAGTTCTTGCTCAGCTGCCTGCCCGCCTTGACACTCCAGGCCCTGCTCAGCCCTCTGATCTCTGGCTCCACTCAGAGACTCCTGCTGCCTTCCTCCTTCAGAATGGGTTTGGCCATGAACATGGGGTGGATTAGAGGAGGTGTCCCACACCCTTGGCATCTCAGGATGGAGCATGGAGTGTATCCAGCAGGCAACTCTGGAGTGAGCCTCTTGCCTGCCCCCTCCCCATCCACTTACCTAGTGTGTCCGGGCGTGATATTGTTACCGCTGTTGACCGGTGACGAGTCCTTGCTTCCCCGATGTTGAAGAATAACACCAAAGAAGCACGCCGAGGCAAGGTCAGAGTAGAGATTAGAAATTTATTAAAGGACAGAAGAAAAGACTTCTCCCGGAGGAAGAAGGGGACCCGGAAGGTGGAATCCGTGGAAGTGCAGTTGTCTCCCCTTTTTATAGTTCTTTCAGTGATGGAATGTAGGTGGGAAGGCCCGAGGGGTGGACACGGGTGGGCCAAAGAAGTGGTCTGAGCAGGAAGGACTTCATTATCACTTCTTGGTGATGGGCTATCTTCAGATCTGCTGGGGGCTATTCATTAATACTTCTTCCAGGTGGACTTTGGCCTAGGGCCTCTTCAGGACTTCATTACCATTCCATGAGTTGTCCTGTTTTCCCTGAGTCATTCCCAGCATGGCCTCCATTTTAGATTTCACTCGGTATTAGACCCGATTTACCTACCTACACTGACTACCTAACTGTAAATCTGGCTTCAATATTGTAGGGCGCCTATCTGTCATGGATTAGGGTGATGGGCCCATGGGAAAAGGAGATTCCTGACTGGTTTCCTCACTGCTGGACAGCCGATGGTGCATCTGTGTAACAGCTGGTGATGGAACCCCAAAGCTGATGGCCTGTGCGTGTGCACCAAGACACAGGCAGGGCCTTGGGCACCTGTTGGGGGTTGGCACACCCTCTGCACATGCCCCTGTGACTGAGGGAGGGCAGCACTAAAGGCAGAAATACAGTAGCAAGAGAAGAGAAGGTGCAGGAGAAGGGAAAGAGCTTTATGTTGAGCACTTTCTATATCATTTCTTTTTCTGTGTTTTGAACAGGGGAGCCTCTGCATTTTCATTTTTCATGTTTCATTTTCATTTCCACACTCTACGGCGGGTGCTCAGTGCTACCCACTGTGGAATGTTCCCGTGTGTTCTTCGTCATCACTTTCTCCTCCGTCTCCTGGGCCATGGAGAGGGAAGGATCCCTCCAGACTTTTTTCTATTTGTTCTAAATCTCGAAGTAGATCTAATGTCTGTTAATACAATTGCAAAGGGGTTTCCTTAGTAGCAGTTAAAAGGAGTATACCTTGCAGGTTCAAAACCTTGACTTCTTTGCCAGAAATTGTCATCTTGTCACCTGGTTCTATAAGGATCTCAGGGCTCCCAGGGGAATCTGCTGCTCTGAGTTCACTCACCTTCCTGCTAAGCACATCACCATAGGATGAGCTGCTCAGAAGCAAGTAACATTCCAAACAAGTCCTTGGGCTGCTGCTAACAGGCTGGCTTTTAAAGATAAATTTTAAGACAAGGAAGGGATGCAATAAGACAGCAACGTGGGCTGTGAATAATTTGCTTTGCTATCCAGTGTTTTACGAGGGCTATCAGCAGAGGCTGGAGGGGGAGGGGCAGGAAGCGCAGATCTACCAGCACCTTGAATGGGGCAGTGCTGGCTCTGAAGCCCTGAAACTGACAAGAGTGGGCGGGAGGGTAATTCACAGACTGGAGACAGAATTGGTGACAGGAATAGGAAGGCTGGCTAAATTATACTTAAGTGGGTGGGTTGGGTCTCTTTTTCTTCCTCTAGTTGTATTACTTACTGAATTCTTTATCTGCCCGCCTCCTGCTGTCAGTGTGTCTGTCCATAAACTTGTCCATGTTAATAAGGAGGCTCCGTGTCGTAAGTTACTGAAGCTGTGCTTAATTTTAAAACACAAAAGAAAAAAGTGTATTATTGTATTACTTACTTGGATTCGTAAAATATCTGAGAAGACTTATAAGAACAAGTGCTTTTTAAAAAACTAGAGAAAATATAAAGGAGTAAACAGTGCATCATGAGGGTTGGAACAATATTGACCAGAAAGGAAAAGAAACAGAGAGAAAACAGAAAAAAATAATACCAAGCTTTTCAGGTCACAGGATTTGCACATTTACTAAAATTAATCAGCTGCTGGTGGTTTGGGTTCGGGGTGGGGGGTGTCCTGGTGATCACAGATAGTCCCAGCTTACTATCGTTCAGCTTTATGATGGTGCAAAAGCAACGTATATTCAAGAGAAAATATACTTGGAATTTTGAACTTTGGTCTTTCCCAAGGCTGGGGGCAGGGTCCACAAGCCACAGCTCCCAGTCAGCCATGAGATCACCAGGGCACAAACCGGTACTCTGCAGTGCCTCATGCTGCTGAGCTACAGTGTGGGGTAGGTTAGGTGTATTCAGTGCCATTTCAACTTCACAGTAATTTCAATTTACAAGGGACTCATAAGGACATAACCCCACTGTACGTCAAGGAACATCTGTCTGTATTTGCACCGAGGTGAAATTCACTCTTAGGGTGAATGGCATGAACGCCTAAAAGGGAAAATCAGAATCTTGAAAGGACTTTTGCAAACCTCCACGTGCTTCTAACTACCACCCTGCCAACCTGTGTTCTGAAGGGTCCCTTGTTATGGAACGTCTCCACCAGCACTGAGGACCGAAGGCAACGCCAGGAGGGAGGAGGAGTTTCTGCTTCGTATGAATCGAGCTGTGTATTAGGCAGAACCTTCCAATTCCTTATAGAATGTGAAGGGTTTTCTTGTGCTTCATTATAAAATAATCGAAAAATGAGTATTTACTGAGTACTGACTCTTTGCTAGGCGTGTTCCTAAAGCCTTTCATTCTGTTGACTTGTGCTCCCTTAAATTTACAGAAGGCTGTGTAGCATTATCTCCATATTGCAGATGGGGAAACTGAGGCCTGGGAAAGTAAATAGATAGTAAGTCATCGAGCCAAGATTTGAATCCAAGCTACTTGGCTCCAGAGCCCGTGATCACTAGACTAACTTAAGAAATAAAAAAATGATTTTTTTTTCCCCCACACAAAACTTTATTTAAGGGCCACCATGTGGTCAGTGTTCTCAAGAACATTGCTCAGAAATTAGAATTTTGCCAGCTTTATAGTATTTCGTACTGGAAGCAAACACCCAGGCACAACTCATCTGAAGTAAATCAGTAGAGGTACTGTGATAGCGTGGACCAGCGCTCTGTTCTGGCTTGAGACCAGGATGGACTGTGTGTGGAATGAATGCCTCCCAGATAAGTAGAAAATATCCTTTCTTTAAAAATGGTATTTAAGGGCTGGGGATGTGGCTCAAGTGGTA